ACTGTTGTGTTCGTCTATTTCACTACTGTTCCGTGTCACACTCCAGACGCCAAGTACAGTTCCTCGCACACCACATGGAGTGCTAGCAGCCCATCAACATCTAAATCATCACTTCCGTGGTGAACAGACACTATATTATGCTCTCGCGTACCCGTCTGACCTACCATATCTATATCAAGTTAGTAAATTCCGAATTAGACGTGTACACTCTCCAGATATATCCTCACCCCCCTGTATAAAATACACTGGGTGAGGCCCATCAGTGAGTGGTGAGTGAATATGAAAGCCTAGGATATCACTGCACATTATTGTAGACTTTATAAGCACTGTATACTTAGGCTGTACTAAATTTAAAAAGTTTTATTATTAACCCTAGCTTACTGTAAACTTTGACTGTATAAATTTTAAATTTTTTAACTTTTTGATTCTTTTGTAATAAATATTAGTTTAAAACACAAACACATTGTATAGCTGTACAAAAATATTTTATATCCTTATTCTACAATTTTTATTTATTTTTAAATTATTTTATTTTTTTACTCAAACTTTTGTTAACTAAGACACAAACACACACATTTAAGCCTACCTGGAGTGAGATCATCGATTTCACTGTCTTCATGTCACATCCTAATACAACGGGAAGGTCTTCAGGGGCAATAACAGGCATGGAGTTGTCAACTTTTATAATAACAATTCGTTTTCTGAAATAACTTCTGAAGGACCTGCCTGAGGATCTTTTGAGAAGGTGTCACTCTTTTCAAAAATGTGTTCTGATGGTTTGTTTGGTTCGTTTCCTTTGTTGTTGGTCATATTTTCTTATAAGCAGATAAGGTACTATGAATATACCTCTCTATTAATGAAAGTCTTTGCATGTTGGAGTCTATGTTAGTCCATTTTGCATTGCTGGGGAGGAATGCCTGAGGCTGGGTAATGTATGAAGAAAAGTGGTTTATTTGGCTCACAGTACTGCACACTCTACAAGAAACATTATGCCAGCATCTGCCCAAACACCCTTCAATAGGCTCCACCTCCAACGCTGGTAATCAAATTTCAACATGAGATTTGGTAAGGCTAAGAATGGAATGATATAGTTTGGATTTTGGGCCCCTCTGAATCTCATCTTGAAATTTGATCCCCAGTGTTGGAGGTGGACCCCATGGGAGGTGTTTGGGTTATAAGGGCAAGATCCCTCATGAATGGCTTGGTGCCCTCCCTGCAGTAAAGTGAGTTCTCACTTTATTAGTTCATGCAAGAGCTGGCTGTTTTAAAGAGACTGGCACCCCCCTCCCTCTCTTACCATGTGACACACCTGCTTCCTCTTTGTCTTCCACCTTGATTGGAAACTTCCTGAAGTCCTCACCAGAAGCAGATGCCAGGCCAGTACTTATTAT